GGGGCGGGGGGGGAGGCGCACGGGAGGAACGGGGGAGTGGAGACACCACGCGGAAGCCGGGACACACACGAGCTGGGGCCCTCACTGGGGAGGGGTGTGCGCGTGTGGGTGGGAGACACGGGCGGAATGTCTGGGGTGGGAAGTGGGCAGAGGTCTCCTCGAGGACTCTCGAGTAAGGGAAGAGGACCGGGAGGAAAGAGAAGAGGAGGGGGCCGAGCGACCCCATTGAGGGCAGGGAACGAGAGGGATACGGGAAAAAGAGACGGGGATGGGCGTCCTGTCCCGGCCAGCCTGAGCTGGGGCTCCCGGACTTAGGTTCCAGCTGCCAGGGGGTGGCCTGTCTCCGGGATAAGGCAGCAGTGGGTCCCCTCGCCCCCCCACCCCAGTTCCCCCCTACTTCCCTGTCCTCTCCTTCAGTCCGTGGCCAGTTCTTATGTGGGCGCCAGAGTCGATTAGCGCGGACCCCCTCCCCTTTCTCCTCCTCCTCCTCCCAGCCCCCTCCCTTCTGCTCTCCTCCAGCCCCTTTCATCGGCTGGTTCATTCCCCTAATCCTGGCCCCCTCCCCTAATCCCCCCCATCCGACCCCAGGCCGGCTGCAGCTATTGTAAGGTGGAGAGAAGGGAGGGGGGACTCAGAGAAAGGAGAGGGGCGGGGGAGGGCCACCTGTTCCAAGACCCCCTCCCAAGACCAGACTGGACACCAGGATGGGGCGATGAACAAATCACTCTAGGGGACCACAGGGGCCCAGAGAGTTGGGGGGAGGGAACTGATGCTACTGAACCAGTGGAAGGGGGTGACACAGGAACCCCTCCCTCCAAAAAGACCCAGAGTGTCACGCATACACTGTGACACACACTCTTCCCTCTCACACCCGGCGACGGGGGTTGCCCTGGGAGACCAGGCAGTGAAAGGGAACAATCCTTCGGGAGAGGGAAAGGAGGGGGAGGTAGGGAGGGGTCTGAGGGCTTGGACACAAGAAGAACCGGAGGTGGCAGGGAAGAGGATTTGGAATTTATTAGGGTCACAAGCACCCCTGCCTCCTATATTCAGCATTCCTGAGCCATACACTGCCACCCCTTTTGTAGCCTGGGAACTTAGAGTCCTCATCAGCAGGAGGCAGAGTGGTGGGGGAATGAGCAGAGTCCAGGGTCCTTGAGGCAGTTACATGAAAAGACCTCCTGGGAGGGGCAGAAACATTTGGACAGATGCATGGGTGGAGGGACAAATGGGCTTGAGGGTGCCAACATCTGTCCCTGGCCTCAGGAATCTCTGCCTTTCCCAGTGGCTCCAGACTTCCCTCACTTGCTTTCTCATGTAGTCTGGGTTACACCCCTTCTCTGCCCTCTACCTCCCATTGTCCACTTCATACCAGTGACTTCCACTGAGGCCCCTGTGATGTATCCACTATCTTCAGATGCCAAGAATGCAACCACATCTGCCACATCTGTAGGAATGGTGGGGAGAGGGTGGAATCCTACTCCCACAGACCAAAGTAGCCACCATCTCCCACCAAAGACCCCCTCCCTCCAAACACACACACACACATACACACACACATACACACTCTAACCACCAAACCTCCCCCAAACACTACAAATCTTGGGATCTCCTCACTCAGGCCCCCTCCCCAGGGCCTCCTCCCCTCAAATTGCTCACCCTCAGGGTCCCCCAAATGTCCCATCGGGATCATTCTGGTCACCTGTAAAGGAAACACTCATATGTGGGAGAGTTTCTTTTATGGAGTTTTTTTGAAGACTGAGGCTGTGACCCTTTTTTGTTTTGTTTTCAACGCTCATACATTTATTGAATACCTCCTGTTTGCCAGGCACTGTGCCTAGCATTTTCTCTGTCTTTGTGAAGCCTAGAGATACTGGGTCTCCGAATGATTCCACCCTCCTCCCATAGCCTCCTACCTTGTCCAGCACTTTCTGTGGCACTTTCTGTGTCATGGGTGTTGAAATGAACCCTGGGAGGACAGAGTTACATCGGATCCCATGTCTGCGGGAAGGAGAGTGGCTGATTCTGGAGATGACTGAACATTGACTCCTCCCTCAGACCCGCACATGCTTCAGTAAAGCTCTCCAGCACCCTGAAAGTCTGACTAACCGTCCAAGCTCCCGGGCTGCAGTCTGGGTCAGCCCAATCACTCCAGCCTTGGATGCAGCATAGTTTGTCTGCCCCATGTTCCCAACCTATAGGTGAATCAGAGATCTAGGATGAGTCCAAGTCCCAAGGAGGGCTCTCTCTCTATACCCATGTGGCTGGCTGACCTCCCAACTCAACCTGACCTTTCCTATGATGCTACTGATGTTGATAATGGAGCCATGACAACCACTGGACACCAGGGCTTGGGCTGCAGCCTGAGTGACTAGGAAGATGCCCTGGTGGGAAACGGTACAAGGCAGAAAACATCAGCCAGGGTTACAGCCCTCCTCTATCCCTCCCCGGGCTGGGGGGAGGGGAGGGGCGCGGCGGCAGAAGTTACAGGTTCAGAGGTCACCACCTTGAGGTTGACAGCTATAACTCTGTCCCAATCATCCTCAGACATGTGGAGTAGAAAGTCATCCCGGGTGATGCCCGCACAGGACACAACGACAGATGGTGGGCGAGAAAAGCAGGCCTATGGGAGGAGGAGGTTACACACCAAAAAACTCCACAAAGAGCCGGGGCAATGGAGGCAGTGCCAGAGCTTTAAAGTGGGTGAGGTCGCCTGACGTTCACCTGCACTTGTTCCAGCAGGCGTCTGACGGCCCTGGCCTCAGACACGTCTGCCTGGAAGGCAACGTGGTTCCCTTGGGGCGCCCTCTCCTTGCTCCCCCGCCCGCCTAGCAGCCGCACCGTCTCCTGTGCCGCTGCCCCGTCCAGGTCGCAGGCGGCCACAGCGGCCCCCTCTTTGGCCAGGCGCACACTGACCGCCCGGCCGATGCCGCTACCCGCACCTGAGGCAGGAGAGAACACGCGGGGAGGAGGTGGGGGGAGGAGTGGGCAGGGGTAAGAGGTCACAGGGCGCAAAGTTAGTAAAATATGCACAAGGGGCCAGAGGTTACAGTGGCCGCGGAGTCCGAGGGCTTGCCCCCTGACATCACTTCGGCACCCCAACCCGCCCAGGGAGAGCACCCCCTCGACCTGTGACCAGGGCCAGCGCGGAGCGGAGCCGGAGCTGAGACGCCATGGCGGGCTGCGGGTGGGCGGGCACCCCAGCCCCGAGCCAATCCGAGTGCAGAGGGGGCGTGGCAAGGGCAAAGCGGGGGCCAATCGAAGCCCCGCCAGCCTTAGGCCATCTGCGGCCACCAGAGCTGGCCGACCTCCCACCGCGGAGGCGTGGCCAGACACTACCGCTTGGGGGCCTGGGGGGTGGGAAAGACAAGGGGCCCCATTCCCCCCAAAAAGATGAAGACTGAATATGGGGCAGAAGATCCGAGGACTTTATTTCCGGTCACCACCCCTCCCCCCCATTTAAACACAGTGATATAAAAAGAATAGGAACAACAACAAAAAATCAGGCCATGAGATTACCAACTATCCCTCTCCCACCCCCTACCCTCAATCACTCCCAAATCAAGACACACGATCGATGTTTGATGTTTTTCTCCTACTCCTGTTACTCCCTCTGTCCAGGGCTCTGGTCTTCCCTGAAACCTCTACCAGCAGGTGGGAGAGAGAAAAGTGGACCTTGGAGAATCCTCTGTGCAGCAGCAGCTTGGTCCTCTGACAACAGGTGGGGTAGGGGACACCAGTCAGACTGCCATCACCCCTCTCCCTTCTGGTTTTCTTCATGGCCCCATTTAGCCCTCCAAATCCAACACAGTCAGCTGGTGCCAAACACTATGGTCCCTCTGGTTGCTCATTCTCACCTCTATAGCCCCTGTAAGACTGCCAAACCTTGAAGGCTCTAATGCCAAGTAACCATTCTCCTAGGTTACAATTCCTTCCTTTAGCAGATGTCCCTGGCCAGGGTCTCCAACCACCACAGACTCCTGATCTGGAGTTAGGGGTGGAGGTTTTGGGCAGTGGTGGGGGCAGATTATTTCATCACTCACTCAAGATGGGCAATCAGCACCATCATGACAACGCCCCCCAGCAAGCCCAGCACCTCCAGAAGTGATTGCAATGGTGATGCCTCCCTCAAAAGCTCAGGCAACACAGACACTGTTGCTACGTAGATAAAACCACCTGCAGTGAATGGCAGGACCCAGCCAGGACCCGCACTACTTGCAACTTCACGGCCCATTGCCCCTCCTTCAGCTAGAAGGGCACAGGCTGTGCCTGCCAGTGCCCCTACTGCTGTCAGTAGTTGTAGACGCATCGCCTGGAGGGCAGAAAAGAGAGAGAGACACCAATTGCAAAAGATTATCAGTGGTTTGGAAGTGGCTGCTACGGAATAGGTACATAGGTGTAGGGCACATGTCTTTGAAACTAAAAATCAAGGTAAAAAGAGGGGAGGATGTCTACATCTGAGATCAAAGAGGTCTTTTTCATAAATTTTCATGAAGCACACACGTGTGTGTATATGTGTGTGTGTGTGGGTATAAGACCCCATAAACTGGGCCAGGTGCAGTAACTCAAGCCTGTAATTCCAGCACTTTGGGAGGCTGAGGCAAGAGGATTGCCTGAGTCCAGGGGTTCAAGACCAGCCTGGGAAACTTGGTGAGACCTCATCTCTACAATGAATTTTAAAAATTAGCTGAGTGTGGTGGTGCGTACCTGTAGTTCTAGCTACTTGGAAGTCTAAGGTGGAAGGATCGCCTAAGCCCAGCAGGTTGAGGCTGTGGTGGCTGTGAGCATGCCACTGTACTCCAGCCTGGGTGACAGAGTGAGACTCCAACTCAAAAAAAAAAAAAATACCCCATAAACCATTCAGATGGTTTATGAACCAGTTTAAGAAATATTGGGTTAAAGGACAAAGAAAACAGATCTCTTACCCCTCATTTCTAGAGGACTTGTCAATGATAGCATGACTTGTTTAGAACTAATGAGAGGCAGTTTTGGATTTGGGGTGAGTGAACAGAAATAAAGGGTTTGAGGCAGCCATGTTTGGTAGACATCATCACCAACCTGCTTTTTGCTGCAGCCAGACTGGACCAATATGGCAAAGTCCCCAACCTCATGGGGTACTTCATGTAGCAGGACTGTCATTGTGGTCAGGATCCCCAGCCCTCGGCCCCCTCGAAAGGAAGCACCAATTGCCAGGCCATCCGTGAAGTTGTGTGCCAAATCAGCAGCCAAATTCAGGTACCCGGACACACGCAGATCTTGTAAAGAACAGGAAGACAAAATGATAAGCATCCATCACCATCAATCCCAGTTCTGGACAGCTATTTTCACATCTCCCCTCAGAGGCCACTTCGCACCTAGTCCCTTAGTGTTTCCCAGACCAAAATACTAGTCATTAGCCACGATTCATATTCCATTGTGATTCATGATAATGCCCCTGGCCCAAATTTATCATCAATCCTGGCCCTTACCCGAGCCTGTTTTTTCTTCTTCAGGGTTCTGAGGTCCCACTGGCCCATCTTTGGGTACTATGCTGCCACCTCGCCTCTTTCGCAGCCCCCCTGCTTCCTTTTCTTCTTCCTCTGAGCTCTGTTTCTCCTTTGAAGAATGCTCTGAGGGAAGAGAGGAGTTCGTCAGAGTGGGGAATAGAGATCTTCCAACACATCCTCTGCCTCTTGAGAGCCATAAGATGAGGAGATTCTGAGGGAGGCAAGGTGACTTTTGGGAAAGTTGTTCTGGGGCTCACCCTGTCTTCCATGTGCATGACTTCCATGTGTGTGGCCGTGAGCGTGTCCATGTCCATGACTGTGTCCATGTCCTCCTTTCACATGTCTCACAAATTTCTCCACAACAAGAAAGGCAACAATTCCACTGAGAACCCACAATCCCACCGACAGAATGGGGCCCTGGCCTGGGAATTGAAGCATTGAGACATTAGGGGAGATGTAGATTCTAGACTCCTCCTCAAGTGCAGGAGGTGAAGAATAGGGAGGCACAGACCTTCCCCAGCCCCTGTCCCCATCTGTCTCTTCCTCACCACTGTGAGAGTGTCCATGTCCGGGTTGCTCCAGAGTGTGGTGAGAATGAGGTTCTGGAGGGAGGGGGGAGAGAAAACCAGATGAGGGAATATATGACCCACAAGGTATGTATTTGGGGGAACATCAGGAGATGAGTGATCACAAAGGTGAAAGAAACCCTTTTCTCAAAGAATGAGATAGGTTAAGATTTGAGGTAGAAATCAGAGCTTACTTACCAAGAGCATGAGGGATGAGATGCAGGAAGGCATCTCCCAGAAGCCCACCAGAAGCAAAACTGAGCAAGATCTGAAGTAGGGAGCGATGCCGGGGGGAGTTTGACTCCACAGGGATAAGGAAGAGGACAAAAAATGGAGCTGCTGAGATCAGCACTGTGGCTCCCAGTGCCTAGTGAGGAAGAGTAAGGGTTAAGTTGTGTGGAGTTTCCCAACAATCCAGAATCAGCCCCTCTCTCCCCCATCCCTTGGGGACTTACATAAGCCCAGAGCGTGACAGTATCCAGGTCCTGCTTGATGCCTGGAGCCCCAGACTCCCCATAGCCTCCATGGCTATGCTCATGGTCATGTCCATGTCCTCTGTGGTGGAGGCTCTCATGGGAGTGGCTATGGCCATGGTGCAAATCCTCATGTGAATGTCCATGGTCATGACCGTGGGTATGCCCATGCCAGATGCTTTCATGAGTGTGGCCATGACCATGGGCATGACTGTGGCCATGGTGGAAGTCCTCATGTGAGTGTCTGTGGCTGTGGCCATGGAAGTCCTCTTGCAGGTCGTCATGTGGATCGCCATGACCCCCGTGTCCGGCCACCAGCAGCCCCAAGGCCGCCCAGGTCAGCAGTCCCACGGCCACCCAGTGGGGGATCCCCAGGCCTCTGGCCATCATGCTGACCAGAGGGACAGAGACAGTGACTCCACTTGACTCTCAACTCTATATGTATGCAGGGTTCGCTTTACTCCAATCGCGCCCTCTATCCACCTCTATGGGCTGCTCCCTCATTCCATTACGTCCCCATCCACATTCTTCCCAAGACTCGTTCTCTTTATCCCGAACCCCCTCCCGGATGTAGGGCCCCGGGACACCACTTTAGGCTTTGACCTGCCACCTTACGGACTGTCTAGGCCCTCGTCTCGATGACCCATTAGGTGGTTAAAAGGCCTGGAAAGGACGGTAGGGAAAAGCAGGGAATTCTCACCGGCTTCGCAATCCTCTCCTTCCCCGGTATGCTTAGACGTGGCAGTCCCGCCTTTAGCTCCCGCGATAACAGGAAACTCCGCTCTACCTCAGTTCCAGTGCCTTTACCAATATGGCGGCTGTCGGGGGCGGCGAAGCCATCCTGCCCTGGCACGCATGCGCAAGTGTGGAGGTTATTTGAGGGGAGGGTGGGCGAGGCTGGCTAACAGGCCGGCGGAGACCGCCTCCTCCGTTTCCAACTAGACGAGGGGGCGGGAACTAGCGCAGGGACTTCCCGTCTGTACAAAGATGGCTGCCACATCGGCGCTGTCATTCTGGTACAGAGCAGAGCGAAGAGCTTAATTCGACCCGATCCAGGCCAGAGTCTTTTTCTCAGGGGCTTTCTCAGCGAATCCTCCGATCGACCCTTGGAAGTCCCTGGCACCTCTTCGCTATCCCTACACTCAGCCAAGGATCATGTCTTGGGCCGCTCGCCCGCCCTTCCTCCCTCAGCGGCATGCCGCAGGGCAGTGTGGGCCGGTGGGGGTGCGAAAAGAAATGCATTGTGGGGTCGCGTCCCGGTGGCGGCGGCGACGGCCCTGGCTGGATCCCGCAGCAGCGGCGGCGGCGGCAGCCGGAGAACAACAAACCCCGGAGCCGGAGCCGGGGGAGGCTGGACGGGACGGGATGGGCGACAGCGGGCGGGGTGAGTGTTCTAGCGGACGGGCAGACGAGCTAGTGACCGCGTTATCTGCAACCCCTCCCCCCACGCTTTCCCCCGGTGCTTTCCTCTGGCGCTCCCGCCCCCTTGTTTGTAAACACGCGTCCCCTCCCTCCCAAGGGCCTTAGCGCCCTCCCCCCGGGGCGGGGCGGGGAGGGGGAGCTTCCGTCCTTTAAGCTGTGGCCGCCTGAGGCCCTGCGCACCGGAGGTCCCGGGTGTGGGAAGGGCACGTTTCCCCTTAAGCTTGAGGATTTTGGACGTTTGAAGGCAGATCCTGCGTCCTAGGAAGGGTCTCTTCGGCTATAAGCTGGGAATGGAAGGGTTGGATGGTCCACCCCACGTGCTGCCCCACCCATGAGACAGGTCTGGCTTGGGATGACCTGGTAGTCATTCAAATGCATTGCTTGGAATTTTTCCTCACTTAAACTGTCCTCTCCTTTGCCAGTCCCCTCTCCTCACCACAATTAGGAGTTACACTATTGTTTGACAGCATGGTGTCCCTGGATTTGGGGATGACCGGGGTGATGTGGGCTAGGTAGGGGTGTGCTGGGGGATTAAAGAATTAAAATTTCCAGTTGGATGATCGAAGACTCATTTTCTCTTTTTGTCTCTCCTGTCTCTGTGTGTCTCTGTGCCTGTGTGTACCCCTCCCTCAGACTCCCGAAGCCCAGACAGCTCCTCCCCAAATCCCCTTCCCCAGGGGGTTCCTCCCCCTTCTCCTCC